AGTGTGTGTGCCCACTAGAGAACCTTTTCCCTTTTTGGAGTCTGGAATGGAAGTAGAGATTTCCAAGTCTTGTGTTACCTTCTCTTGTCAGCAAAATAATGTACTCTTGGCAAAGTGTCTCTTTCCAGTGCTTGTCTGAAGAAAGAACAGCAGTATAGTCCCCACAATGGTTTGTCTTCTATGTTATGTGACACATGATGGGAATCTAAATTGTGGCTTTTGTTCTTCACACAAGTTAAGTAACTTATTTCAGAGACAAACACTAAGAAGTTGGGAATGCCAGTCTTAAGGTTGTCTAGTGAAGCAAGCTTGTCTGTCAGATCATCTTCTTAGCCAAAAATACAGTGAATAAAGCAGGTAATTGCAGAAAGAGAAAGTACATGCTATTTAAACTGCTAAATATTGTTATGCAGTATGTTATAATATTGCTGTCGCTACATTAGAATTTTGGGGTGATGCACAACCAAACTTTTCAGTTTAACTATACATATGACCTGTTTTCAGAGTGCTTGATTTGAGACTTTGGTTATTAATTTTCAGAAATGTGGAGCACTCACAGCTGTGGCAGCAATCAATGTTGCTTTTTTGAACATGTAATACTTTCTATCCTGAAAATTTAGGTCACAGTTTGGGCATCCAAAATAATCAGATAGCATTTCAATTGATCTTTGTCCCTCCATTCCTTTTCTGTAAAATAGCGAGAATGCTTAGAATCACAGAATGGTTGAGGCTGGAAGGCACCTCTGACGGTCATCTTGTCCAACCCCCCTTCTCAAGCAGGGCCAGCCACTCAGGACCATGTCTAGATGACTTTTGAATACCTCCAAGGAAGGAGACTCCATAACCTGCCTGGGGCAACCTGTTCCAGTGCTCCATCACCCTCACAGTGAAAAAAAGTGTTTCCTGATGTTCAGAAGGAGCCTCCTGTGTTTCAGTTTGTGCCCATTGCCTCTTGTCCTGTCACTGGACACCACTGAAAAGGGCCTGGCTCTGTCCTCTTTGCACTCTTCCCTCAGGTATTTATAGACATTTATAAGATCCCCCTGAGCCTTCTCCAGGCTCAACAGTCCCAGCTCTCTCAGCTTTTCCTCACAGGAGAGATACTCCAGTCCCTCAATCATCTTCGTGGCCCTTCACTGGACTCTTTCCAGTATATCCATGTCTCTCTTGTACTGGGGAGCCCAGAACTGGACACAGCCCTCCAGGTGTGTCTCACCAGAGCTAAGTAGAGGGGAAGGATCACCCCCTTTGACCAGGTAGCAATACTTTCCTTAATGCAGCCCAGGACACCATTAGCCTTCTTTGCAGCAAGGGCACATTGTAGGCTCGTGTTCCATGTGTCGACCACCAGGCCTCTCAGCTTTCCTGCCAAGCTGCTTTTCAGCTTGTGTACTGGTGCCTGGGGTTGTTTGTCCCCAGGTGCAGGACTTTGCATTTCCCTTTGCTGAACATCATGAGGTTCCTGTCAGCCCCTTTCTCCAGCCCATCGAGGTCCCCGTGGATGGCAGCATGACCCTCTGGTGTATCAGCCACTCTTGCCAGTTTTGCATCGTCAGGACAATTCCTCATGGTACCCTCTGCCCCATCATCCAGATCACCAATGAAGATAAAAACCAGGACTGGATGCAGTATTAACCCCTGGGGCACACGACTAGTTACCAGTCTCCAACTGGACTTTGTGCCATTGATCACCACTCTCTGGGCCTGGCTGTTCTGCCATATTTCAATCCACTTCACTGCTCACCCAGCCCATATGTCAACAGGTCACGTTCACTGAGTATCTTATGCGAGTGTCAAAGGCCTTATTGAACTCAAGGTAGACGATATCCACTGCTCTCCCCTCATCTATCAGGCCAGTCATTTCATCACAGAAGTTTGTCATGTTGGTAAAGCGTGACTTCCCCTGGGCGAAGCCATGCTGACTACTCCTGATGACTTTCTTGTTCTTAATGTGCCTGGAAATGGTTTCCAGGATTAGTTGCTCCATCAGAATTTTCTTTAGAGCCAGGTTTGAACTCTGTCTTAGCAGGTTCCAGAGCCATGCATTTGAAAATATGTGCTGGAAATTTGAGTGCCTTTCGCCTTGTGTTTTGAAATAAGGAGAAGTTCTGAGGAAAAAACAGAATGTGATTATATACTATGATGTCCCTCAAAGACTGAGCTACGGATAATTTTACTTTGGATGTTTTATCTCCTGAAAGTGGTTAATAAGTATCATTCAATAAACCAAATCACACTGATATTTAGAGAGTAATTTGCAGCCTGCATGGTTTTTATGAGATGTAAGGTTCACTGTAAGAAGAGTTTTTGTGTTTCAACTCTGTGAATGCAATGTATGTAGATCACATAAGGATTGGTTACCTTGACCATTTAAAGGTGATGCGTAACACCTTATTAGCTGAATGAAGATAAGGAGAGACATCTTTTAGAATTTGCTTTTGTAGATTGCTTTTTTTCATTATTACCTTTGCATTTTTTTTTAAGTGGTGTTGAATTTATAAATGCATTACACTTACATAAAGTTCATTTAAATAAATAAAGGATTTCAGAAAAACTGGACAGTATCAGGATATCAATCTCTCATTTCATCAGTCATTACACACTGTATGTAGTCTATATATTACTTCTGTCTATTGTAATTCTGTTTAAGCCTTTATTGTTATAATACCCAGGAAAGTTCTTTTTAATAATCTAGACGTTTGCTGTTTAAAGATAGAATTGTTTTGAGCAAAGAAATTTAAGACTTTGATCTAAGGAAGAATGCAGTTCTGTAAGTGTTAGTTGGATTATTTATATGTTTCAAGAAGGTATATGCTTCAGTGTTTTCTTGGAGGGGAGCTCTTGCCATGTTCTTTTACACTTCCAAAGCATATAAACATAATTTTAATTTCAAGTGGGTTGAATTAATAAAAATGAGAACTTTCTGCTTGTGTCCAGCTGACTTTTCAAGACAAAGCCTTGTACAACAAAAGGAGATCTATGCTTTGAAAGACACGATTGCACAACTTAACAAAGAGAAGGCAACTTTGCAAGACTGTATGGAAGAAGGAAGGAAGAAGATTGCTACGTTTGAGGAAAACCTGGCGATTAGAGTATGTTCTAACAAGTAAATAGTCACGTAGTCACAAAAGATAAATAGGGAAAGGCTCTGTTGGGTCATCACACCTATCTTATTTTGGTATCTGCAACAGTGCTCAGTGCTGGCCTAGTTCTGCTCCAGTCTCAAGGCAAGAATAAAACTCACGTCGACTTCAACAGCAGTAGGTTTGAGCAATGTTGAGAATCTCATGCTTGGTGTCTTGTATGGTTTATACTTATCAAGAGATGAGACTTTAAGTACTTTGCTGAAGTGGATAAGAGTAAATTGTGATGAATGAAATATTTTGTTTGTCATAAAATCTAGCCTAAATTTTTCCTTGGGATCCACTGATGTTAAAGATGCAGGGTGCCAAATAATACTGCCTTTTGTGTCATTGAAGAAGCATCTGAATTATGTTCTTTTCACCTTAAGCTACCAGTTTACCTAAGAAAATTGCATCAGTTTATTGCACAGTGCGATTTCAAACTATATAATTAATCTCCTTGGTTCTTGGTTCTGAAACACTGTTTTTTCTCTTCAGCTTAAGTCTTGTGGATATTGATTTAGGATAAACTGAAAAGGTACTTTTTATCTGTTGTGATTGTTAACTCAAGAATTTGCACTGATGTTTAACAAAATCTTAAAGAAAAGATATTGCAGGACAGGCTATAATCATCTTGCCATAAGCACTGCCTTTGCATTTTAAAAACTGTGAAATGTAAACCGGTGTCCATTTTTGAGAAGAGATGGCTGTCTCTCACCTCACTTATGTCTCCAGTGGAAGATGTTTCCTTAGCCTATGTATGCTTCTTTTAATACCTGTATCCAAAGACAAGGAAGTAAAATGATATACTTTGTATTACCTTCTTTATGGAAATACAGTGATGGAATTCTCGTTTTATCAGTTACAAACTACTGGACTCTGGTAGCTTATTCATTGTAGAAAAGCTATGATAAGTTATCTAATAGACAGAAGACATCATTTCGTTTTGGAAGTGTGAGCCAAATGCTACCTTTAGAACCACAAAGGATTAAAAAATTAAAATTAGATTCTGCAGAAGATAACAATATTTGTTCCTTTATTTGCCAAATTAGATTATGAGAATTTTCGCCTGTCAACAGTACATTATGCAACTTGGGAAACCACAATCCATTTTGCATTAAATAGTTAAATTAACCAGCTAGCCAAATAAAAGGAAAATAGAAATAATATTTTTTTTCCATTTATACTGAGGAGTGGTGGGAGATTTATTTTAATTTTATATTTCTTTTCAAGGAGCAAATAATTTCAGATTTGAAGATTCTGATTTCTGAGTTGGAGCATTCCACAAAGTAAGGCTAAAATGCCAAGATCATTATTATATTTTGATCAATTTTTGAGTTAATATTATAAATTAAATCATAGGATAGGCTAATGTATAATATTTTTCTTACTCTATTAAATATTAAAGTGTTACGCTTTGTTTCATGATTTACAAACTTAACCACTGGAAAAGCTATCATTTGTATTAGGTTGGGCAATATTGTCACACCTGAAATATTAATTGTTTGCTGCATAGAAAATCTGCTGAAACACTCCGTATCTGTGAGAAAGATATCACCAGTTTGCATCAAGAGCTACAAGAAACCAGAAATGAACTTGCACAGACTAACGAGAACAGAAAATCATTAGCTCAGGAGAATGACAGGTTACAAGAGCATCTTTCTGATATTAAGGAAGAAAATCAGGTATATTTGTACAGAGAACCCTTGAATAAAAAGGACGATTGTGTGTTTTCAAGTAGTGCATAGAATTGTTTGGCCCTCATCTGAAGTAAATTTGGAAAACTAGTTTTTAAGCTCATTTTTCAAACTCTGATTTTCCCTTATTTCTCAGCTCACTTGTATAAAGGGGACCAGCTATTCTTATGTAATGTTTTGGATGTTTATCTTAAGGAAAAGCTAATTAATGTTGTTTTCTGATCTTCCTGTAAAAACACTGGCAGTTATAACTATTGCTTGTATGGAAAAGTACTATAAAGGATGCAGCGAGTATTTCTTATACTGTGCTGTGACTGGCCCAGAGCACTTACAACCTTATGACTTGCTAATAATTTAACACGGTACACATCTTAATAAGGTTCAAAACTTTAATAGTATTGTATTTCTTTACATTCCTTTAAAGTGGCTTTTGGATAAAAGATGCTGGAAATATTTGGTTATAATACAACATTACATTATCTACTATGTTATTTATCTCTGAGCAGTTACTAATGGAAGTAGTTAAAATACGTTAAAGTGTTGTCTCAAGCGCACACAATGTTCTCTCATCAATGTATTTTCCAAGCAGCTAGAAATTAAGCTTAATAGCTGTAGTCATTTATCACTGTGTAATGTTCTGGGTTTGCTTCTCTTTGTTCAACTGCTTGCCTTCATTTAGGTTTTCTGATACTTGCTCTTTCTTCTCCACGCTTATTCTACTGTGTAGGGTATCTTTGTTTTTGAAAATACTTTCTGCTCACCTGGCTTTGTCTTCCTCTAGAAGCATTACCCTGTTTTGAAGGAGCAGATTAACTTCACCTGATTTTTAGCTGTTGAAGTTTTCAGGCATTAAGGCTCCCTTTCACATGAAGCAAAGTCCTCCAGATGGAGATTCATCCTATCCTAGTTTTTAAAAAGATTCATTTCACCTGTTTCTCCCCCTTCATTATAGAGGAAGCATAGCTGACTAGATTAGATTAGGAGTCTAATTCAGCGCTGCAAAAATTAGGTGAGACAACTCCCATGCTAAACAACTCTTCTCTAATATTTTTTTATTAGTGCCCTCTTTGAGCATTATAGAACAGTCGAGGTCTATACCCTAAAGGTAGGTAGTGAGTGTCACTAGAAACATGCATTGCTGAGATTACTTAGGGAATCACTATTCTGAACCTTCTCTCAGATACCCAGTTGTTGCTGATGTGGTTAGCTGGTACAAAACACAGCCTTCTGTTGCTTCTAGCCACTTTTGAAAGCTTCATGGTTTTCTTAGCAATGCCTGGGTGCTTCTAGAAGCAGTTAGAAACAAAAAGTCTTAGCCTCACAGGACCAGCTCCTTTTTAATGGGCTTGCTTCTATAATATGTAACAGTTCCTCTAGGTTCTTCCATTAATTTAGACAATATTCGAAGTACTTAAAGTAGCATTCCCTTTCCTCCAGTTGGGCTTACTGGAAAAGTTCCCAGAGCCTTTTTTGGCAATTCACAGCCTTTTCACAATGGGAACAGGAGTTTCTCCATAGCCTACCTTCCCCGACTCGCCCCTGGCACCTCACACCCTACACCTCCTCAATACTGGTTCTTGCAACTGAGTGTTCTTATAGTAATTTTCTAAGGAAGAAAGAGTTGCTGAAAAGGGCAGTTCAAGACCACCTTTATGCAGGATTTTTTCTTCACTCTGTTCTGTTTTTCAAGCAGTAGTTGCCAGGACTGTGTGCATTCTCCTAATACTTGTGGCTTTATTTTTCCTGATTAGGAGATAACCACTTAATTCCATTTTTAGCTGTCTTCTGCTTTTTCAAATGTGGGCTTTTGAGAGACTGTAACATGTAAAAAAGGAAACTGACTCTGAGCCCTGCTCCTTAAATGGGGCAGGCTATTTTGTTATGCCCACTTAGCTGCTAAATAAGCCTTCTGTCTTTCTTCTGAAACGCTCCATTCTTTTATTGACATTTTCCTTCTCTTTGAGAAGATTTAGCCTTATTTGTAAGTCAAAGAAGGTAACTATTTTGACAGATGCGAAATTTTATTTTTAGAAATATACATGGTTTAGATTTTATACAGCCTTTAAATAACTAGTTAATAAAGCCATAGGTGCTAGATACACACAAGTTCTATTTTTTGTAAAGGTGCAAACAGTATACTTTAACCTTACCAAAGAAATCTTTCTTCATAGCTACTGCATAAAAAACTAGCAAAGTACCAGAATGAGCTTGATGATATGAAGATGAAAGCCCAGGATTCAAGCACAGATATTGTCAGGCTGAAGGGTGCACTGAACTCTAAAGTGAGCATATGGATTAAACCTGTTAATAAAAGCTGTTGTTTTAACTAAAAATGAAATTTTAACCATATTTCCATGGAATAATTTGCTTCCTAGCTGAAACTTACTTGCATTTTGCTAACATATTGTTAATAGTTTGAACACATTTTCTTATCTGTTTTTGCAGTACACAAGGAAGTATATTTCACTGTGTTTTAATATATATATGTGTTTGTGTATGTTTATTAAACTTAAGAATTCAGACAGTGAATAACACAGAGACTTGGGACTCGTGTCTTTATCACCATATGGGATTAATAGTAAAAAAATATTTCTGCAATATATTGCTATACCCTATATTTGTAATGTTAATTTAGCCATTTTTTAACAGATGTCTTTTGAACAAAACACTAGTTCCTGACAAGCCTCTCAATGATTTGGCTAAATGGAAAAGTTTTCAATGGAAAGAGAACATCCGATACCATGTCATAACCTGTAGAAGTATAGATATCCCTATTTGGGAAGCTTACTGTAAATTACTAAACAAACAAGCTTTGTGTGTTAGGAGAGAGAGAACTGCGAACTTTTGGAGAATTACCACAAAGCCTGTGAACAAGGAGAAAGTTGGGAATTAAAATGCCATCAAGCAGAAGCAGATTGTAGCTCTGTTAAACTGGCACTGATCAGTGAGGAGTCTGAGAATCGCAGGTTGAAAGAGAAAATGGAGTCCCTTGAAACACAGATTGAGCAAGTAAGTTGAAATCATTCTTTCCATAGTTCACCCTTGAAATGGTCTGGTAGTATTTTAAGCCTGCAACTGTTTAAAATTGTGCTTAATGCCACCTCTCATATTTTAGAGATACTTGCTACAATGAACTGTATGGAGTTTGAGTTTATTTAATAACATGGCTAGAATTCCACTAGGCACACTTGGATAAAAATGTCTTAAAAAATAATATCATCTTTCAAGGAAATAGCATTCACTGATCATCTACATGCAAGAATACATTTTATTGCTAAAATAAGAAGGTCTTATCTGAAAATGAAATGCGGCCTATGGCAGAATTTTCAACTTTATTAGCTCTGCAGAAGGAGTAGAATTCTAGGAATAGAGTTTAAAATGTCAATAGCTGATTTTGCTGTCAAAAGCAAGAACTCCTCTTCTAGTTTTTATATACAGGAGTTATTTAAAGAAACAACTTTAAAGTTTATTCCAGAAGAAATGACTGCTGCCTCTTAAAATTCACCACAATTACATATAGCTATTTATGTGGATTTTGGAAGCAGTTTTAAATTTTCTTTGCAGTAGATTATCTGATATTGCTTTACTATAGCATTTAACAACAGAAGCATCATACAAGTCTCAGATTTCTGCCTAAGCAAGTCTTTTGTGAAAAGAGAAGAATTTCAAAACATACATCTGGAGAGAGTCTCTGTACTTGCAAATCTCACATCTACACAACAACTTTGCATTAAACTAGATGCAGTCGAAGAACGATTAAAACGGCAATTAACTTCCACAGCAGAGAAGGTAGAAAGGGCATGTGAAATATATCAGAAAAATAAGTTTATACTTAAGGGATCTAATTCTGCTTTGAGATCTAGAATGATCAAAGGAATCCTCATTGATGATTAGTGTTTCAATATTTTTGTTTAATTTGGCATTCCTCAGGGGCTTAACCAGCACATGGATGCTGTATACTCTTTGAAAAAGCACACTGCTTTTCAAGGTTTTACTGTGAATACTTAAAATTCAAGACTTAAAATTAGTGGTTGTTTTCATGAAAAATATATTGGATTTTACATCTAGTCGCTAAGTAAGCAGAATAGCTGGAATAGTTCATTAGCAAAGAAACTTGACATGGACTTTAAAATGAACTGTTTTAGGAAGTATCACTTATCTCTTTAATAATCTTAATTTCCCTTGAAAATAAATTTCTGTGGACCTTTGTTTTTACAAAAACTACAAAATTGATGTGTGATAGGCAAATTTTTAAAAACTCTGCTTGCATAAACTCTGAAAAATTGTTCATACGTACTCAGTGATATTTTCAGTATGATTCCATCACTGTCCTGTCCATCCTCTATTCCAGCTGAGATAATTTCTTGTTCTTTACAGGCTTCCAGCATTCTCTTTCAATCTTTATGCCTTTTCCATACACCATGGGTAAAGCTGCTGTTTGACAGTTAGTTATTTGTTCCAGCCAAACGTCTGTGAAGTCTTGTATGCTTGTGGAATTCTCTACAATGCTTTGGATAGGGAAGAGTTTCATCATGTGACATTTGTCTGAAGCTTTTGTGAGATCTAATATGACTAAGCCTTCCTGGATCCTTCTGAGAGATTATCAGTGAAGGGACTTGCTGGGACTGTGGAGAGCAGCAACAGTTTCAGGAGAGAAAAGTGCAGAGATGCAGTTGGAATAGTTGGAGAGAAGTCTGAAGTCGGGAAATTTTCACTAGGTTTTTCATACCTTTAAACCAGTAGTCTTTCATCAGCTATGTATAACCTTCAGATAGGGTTCTTATTTTACATAGGATTCCAATGCATAAATCTGCATTAGAAGATTGCAGCATATGTGTATTCAGAAGTGGAAACTAAACCTGGTGCTGAATAATATTGTTCTCTCAGTGTTTCTAATATTGTTTATTTTCTATAACTTACGCTGTCTACAGTTTTCAGTATTCTTTTGTTCTGAAATACAAAGGCAGAATAGCAAAACTAGATTTTTGATTGACAGTAAAAAAAAAGGAACTAGATTTTTGATTGACAAAAAAGAACTAGGAAAAAACCTAGAAAAAATATTTTAAAAGGAACTGGATTTTTGATTGACAGTTAGTAGAAAATTGGATCTTTCAGATTGAAGAAACCTTTTAGTTTAGTTTGGTAAAACAGAACAAATTGAGTTTTGCTTTGGAAAGTGAATAATCCTTCCCTTGCCCCAGCCCCCCACGCCTTGTTGGCCTGTGACCTGAGTTCTCTCAGTATCTTCCTCATTTGAACACACAAATGGTTATCATCTGAAAATTCTGAGGAATGTGCTGAAGAGATGGGGTGTTAAGATGTCTCAGTTCATAGATTTACCATGACCTTTGGGTGAGCGTTATTGTGCTTAATGTAAACTAAGTTTGAGTAAAATACAGATAAAAGTGTTTGTAGCACCCCAAGTAGACTCAGTTAGACACGCTAAAATGCATACATGAAAAGATGAAGGAAAAATAGCATCTAGCTTACTTACACTATGATTAGAATGGGAAGTTTTCTGTGTCTCTGTAGCTGACTCAAATACAGATTTTCCTGACTTGCTGTCTCTAGATTTTTTTTTCTCTCTTTTTGTATAGTTATATCTTGGTTATGTCCATTGTTCCCTCTGCAGTGGAACATACTACGTTTTATGGGCGTTCCTCTTTTTTAACTTTCCCAAAGATATATAGCTACTTACTCTCTTGGGTTTTTTATTCATTTTCCCTTTTTCTCCAGATTTATTCTTGATGCTTCTTTAGGTAAAGCAAGTGTAATGTCACTCTGGTGGTGATACAGATACTGGTTTATTACACCGGGTGTCATTTCCTGCATGCAAATGGTCAATTGGTAGTTTCTTGCCTCAACAAAATGTAAAACTTCCTTCCTCTTCTTTAATGATTCTCTCTACAGTCTGTATCCATTGATCTTTATATTTCATAGCATTTTGTCATTTCTATCGAGTACATTTATATTCAGATATATACATTGGGTGAATTTATAAATCTGACAAAGGATTTTGACTGAGGGGGAGTATAACACTAATCATCCATCTTGGAGTGAGAGCAAATTTTGGTCATTGATCCCAGACTTCCTTTTTTCTTTTTCTCTTCCGTTTTTTTAATGAAAGAAAGGTTACCATAATAGCCAGTAAGCTTAACAGACATACACCTAAAACTTTAAAATCTTTGTTTAGTTGCAGAGCAAGTGCAAATCATCCCATTCTGAAATAGAGCTACTGAGAAAACAACTGGGAAATGAAAGAGCATCTGTGAAAAATCTGGAATCTTTGCTTGTGTTCAATCATGAGAAAGAATTTCAGTCACAGAGAGCAAAGCAAGAAAAAGACTCTGAAATTCAGTTTCTCAAGGAACAGCTTTCTTTAGTGGAAAATGAACTGTGAGTAAATGACCAGAAGAATATTGCAGATTTTTTCATTCTTCCTAAGTATATATATGCTGAGATGGTTTTATATCTAGCTGCATTTTCAAATGGCCAGTATACCTTGGTTACAGCAGAAGATGCCAAAAACCTTCTTCTGATTTCTCAGCTGTACCCTAATAGATTTTTCTGTGTAGTGTTATATTTTACTCCAAAAAATATTCTTAATCTCGGTTGCATGGTATAGATGCCCTTTTTTTGGATAATTGTATTTGGTAACATACTTGGAGGATTATAGCTGTTATCTAATTAAAGTGTATGGACTTTACAGTGTTGTGCAGTGTCGAGATTTTACCCAGCTCAGAAGTAGAGTAGCTCAGCTACAGTCAGAACTGGATAGCACCAAAAGACACCTGGAGACTGAACGCTTTGAAAGGTAAGTTTGTATTGAGCTTCCTGCATCTAATTGGCGTCAAATGCAATACAGTGCTAAGACTTAGACTAATTAGCAGAATAAACAGCAAAGTTTGGTTTTGCTCTGCTGTACACCTCCTGCGTGTTCAGAGGCTATTCATGCCACTGAATTCAGTCTGCGTAGCAGTTACACATGCTATCTAAATTAGTTGTCTATGTTCCCTTTATAGCCAATGGAATGAGACAGGGAGATAAACTGCCCTCTGAAATTGCCTGGTTTAGGATGGGATAGATCACTTTCTTGAAGATGCTCGTCTGTCTTCACTTATTTGTAGTGATGACTGTCTTGATCTATAGTGACAGTCGAGGTGACTAGTTGGCTAGAAAAGTGATTTATAGACTACTAAGTTCTGCTATATGAATGGCTACCTTTTGGCTACATCTGTGTTAGTTGAACTAAACCTGATCAGAGCATTGATTTGGGGGGTCCACACAACTATTTATTTGTCCATACAGTTTAATTATTAGTACACATTCTGAAATTATTTTAGCCATACCAACCCACATTCTCCCAGGTACTACCTGGAGCACAGAAGGTACTAGGGGTTGTTCCCAAATGGCAGTATGTCCAAACTAAATTTTCTTTTTTCTTTTCTTTTTTCTTTTCTTTTTTCTTTTTCTCTTTTTCTTTTTCTTTTTCTTTTTCTTTTTTTTCTTTTTCTCTTTTTCTTTTTCTTTTTCTTTTTCTTTTTCTTTTTCTTTTTCTTTTTCTTTTTTTTTTCTTTTTCTTTTTCTTTTTCTTTTTCTTTTTCTTTTTCTTTTTCTTTTTCTTTTTCTTTTTCTTTTCCTTTCCCCTTTTCTTTTTCTTTTCCTTTCCCCTTTTCTTTTTCTTTTCCTTTCCCCTTTTCTTTTTCTTTTCCTTTCCCCTTTTCTTTTTCTTTTCCTTTCCCCTTTTCTTTGTGGGAAGAGTTTAACAATGAGTACAAGCTCTTTCATATGATTTGGCCGCAGTACCAGAGAACAGTCCTTGGCCTGCTTCATGAATTGGTTTATCTATGTAGTCTTGGTGTCTTAGTTTTCTTATCTGTGAAACAACAGTGCTTCTCTATTTCATGGATCTATTGAGGATAAAATATTACTGTGTCAGGCATTATTTTGGGTATACAAAAGAGATGGCTAAAAGAAGCAGAGTGGTATGATTATAGCACAGGTTTGAGAATCAGATGTCTTTTTTAACTGTAGTAAATGACTTTGTTATTATTCTGTTCTTTCTTAAGTAAGGATGAGGGTTTCGGAGGGGCATCTCTATACCTCATGCTAGGTCTTTTAAAGATGGATTTCTTAAATGTCTCAGTGTATGTTTCAATTTCAAATTGGGCTCTCCTTTACCCTGAAGTCATGGCAAAAACTTCTAAACTTTTGGGTTAGATGTGCAAGTCAGTTTAAAAGGTGGCATCATTTGTGCTTCTTCAGCTACATAGAATGAGCCAGACTGTATGCTAATAACAGGAGTACCTTTGTTTTAAAAGAAACTCTATCTTCTTCAGACTGTTGTTTCTCTACTCCCCCTGTGTGAGTGCATCCATCTCATGGTGTACGGGGGGCTCCCTGGTATGGACAGCAAGTGTTTCTCCTTGAAGAGTTCATTGGCAGAAAGTTGAATCAGCCTCAGTACTTAATTTCTTCTCCTAGTTAAGAATAATTTGTTACTCATGTGGTTGTTTATAGTTGCAATAATATCAACATTTTGTTTACAGTTGGTTAGCCAAACAAATATTAGTGAGCCTATGCTGAGGCATCAGTTTTCATTCTTGAAGAGAATTTCTCTTCTAATTCAAGAGAATTACAAAGCTAGGTTCCATTATGCTTTCTGTAAGTCATTTGCAAAAAAATATGCAGAAATCTCAGACAGCAAAGACTGAAATGTTCTCGTATAAAAATCTGAGGCTGACAATAGATTTAGCTGTCTTTGAAAGGCTAGAGTTTGGTTTTTTGTCCCTGTTACAAGAATTTTATTTCTTTTCTGTTTTTCCTCAGAAAGTCATGCTTTACAAGAGCAGGTTATCGATCTCTCTTGCTTGCAGGGAAAGGGATTAAAGCTCCAAGTTGGCTTCTTACAGCCAATCTATTTTTCTGGTACTGACAAGTGAATACCAGGAAATTAGCCAGAGAGGAAAAATATATCACTAAAGTCAGTATCATGATAGTATATAATGGAAGAAGCAGATGTCAGTACTGACTGGGGTTTTGTGTTGTCAGTTTAAACAAGTGGGTAGATGATATCCTTGTTCTAACACTGACTTAGCTAGTTGTATTGATTTACTGCCTTGGTGCAGGATAAAATAATGCCTGAAATTAGGAGGTGGAAGTGCTGATGCTGTCAGGCCTTGAATGAGCACCAACACAGTGGTACCAGGAGGCTTAGTCCACCTGTCTGGGTTTTTCCTTACCAGTCACGAAAAGCACTTCTCCATCCCTCCCATCCTCCTGACTGTAGAAGCAGTTTGTACTCATGAGGAAACAACAGATTTGATTTATTGTCCTGTTCTGGCTCTGGTGACCAAGCACAGGGACTGACTGTCAGGTACCCCTGGACAGGCCCAAATGCATGACTTGCATATCTTTTTATCCCTTTCCGTTTCTTGACCCACCTTTTTGCTGCCTTTTTATCTCCCTTTCTTTGCTCCAGTCTCCTCCCAAATAAAAAACTTGCCCATAGTTACTTTTCCCCATCGGTCACAGTTTGGTTACATTCATACCCATACTTGGTAACTGGGCAATGTTACCTGTGAGAGGTGCAAGCAGCTGCACTCTGACTTCCCACTATTGGATGCCAGCACCATCTTGACCATTAAAGACAGTACAGCATGTGCATAGTAAAGCCCTTCAAAGCAATAATGCTAGTAAGACTAGCAGTCAATGTAGATAAGTCTGGTTGCGTAGTCTTTGCGGTGCACGATACCTCCCCAGGCACAGGGTTGTGGGATGTTGGTTGCTGGGTGGGAGACTGTTACTGTTTCACTGGACTTCTGTTGCTAGAGTGAGCCCTTTTCTTGCCTGTAGATTCAGCTCCATGAGCTGGTGCTGGATCTGCTCGCTCTCTTGCAGGTTATGGTGATCTGCTTCAGTGGTCCACTCCGTAGGTAGGTCTGTGGTAATGGCTGTGCCACACTGGGGCTGCTTTCAGTTCAATACCATACAGGCAGTCCTTGTTTGCAAGGTTTTGGGCAACCTGGAGTCCTTTTTTCCAGCCTGGGTCAGTGCTATCCTTCCAAAACACCCGTTCATTTGTAACGAACTGTTGTCCAAGTTTTACTGGAGTCACATGCTGAAACTCAGGGGTTGTTGTAGCCACCCTTCCTAGCAGTTTCCCAATCCAACCCAGACTAGATTCTCCCCATGTAAACAATTAGCAGCCTGAAACCAGAAACCCAGATGAGTACGTACCTCCAAAATTTTCCAGTGTATCATCCAATCCCAGGTACTTCCTCCCCAGACGCCCAGATGCAGGAGTAACAGATTGATCCAGTATCCAGGCCCCACCCCTTGCAGTCAAAATGACTAGATTACTATTTTACCACTTTCCCACTGGGGAGTCCAGCATCTCTTAAATATCCATCAGTTTCAGGGCACTTCAGGTAGGCTCTAGCCCACTGGCCTTGCCAACTCAAACAGCACAAGAATACCTCAAGCAACACTTCTTAGATTAATACCATTGGTGATTTTAGTGATTGTCCTTATGTTGCAGACTTGTGAATAACATTAAAAATAGGCTCTTCCTCCCTGGAGATTTTTACAATTTTGAATTTAAACCACAGCAACTATGGCTAGCTTCTGTCTTTTAGGGTAAATAGAGACAATGGATATGTAGAACTAAATTTGAGGGAGTAATAGAGAGAGAGTCACTAATCTGTCATTCAGTGAAGGAGATGATGAACACTACATCTTCTTTTAAAATAAAATGAAATTTAAAAGTTGACAATATTATAATGGCTATGAGATCATTTTGATTATTTTTGAAAACTGCTTAGTCTTACTGTAAAATGATTTTATTTAGGCAACGTGCTATACAGGAGCTTCGACACCGGAATCGTACAATCTCGTATCAGTTGAGCTCTACATTAAGAACATCATTACATGAACATTCTCATCATCAACTTCCTGATTGGTCTCCAGACTACTCCCTGGAAGGGTAAATGGTTCAACAACATTTAAGTTCCAAACACTGAGGAGAAAAAAAAAAAAAATAAAGGATGAACTCTGATATTTCTTGTTGAAATATTGACTGAATTCCAAGGAATTACATTGTTTCAAGAAAAGTTGCAAGAATATTCAGGATCACAATCTTTTGATGGTACTCCTTTTATTTTGTTTTATTGAGCTGTATCAAAACTATATGGTTAATAGCAACGACTTGCACTGGGATTCTACAGTCAGAAATTCTTAAAACAGTAACAGAAATAATGCTACAGAAAAATCTCTACTTGTGTCAAGGGTTGAGGCTGGGCCGGCCACTGAGGAATGACAGATGCTGTCTATTAACCCCTCTCCCTCCCCAGAAGGGGAAGAGAGAGAACAAGGGAGAGAGATTTATGGGTTGGAAAAGAAAATTAAACCAGCTTTAATGAAACAATAGCAATAGAAGAAAATAATAAAAATAAGAAAATAATGAAATATATACAAATAGACATGAAACCAATGCTAAACCCAACCTCCCTGATGACGATAAGTCACCAGTGACACTGCAGGGCTGGCACTGGGGCAGTCCCAGGCTGGACTCGGCAGCAGATGGGAACCAGATGCAGGAACTGGATTCAGGCACACGCGGATCGGGATCGCAGGCAGAACAGACAGAGTCCTCCTTGGATGTCGGCCATCGAAGAAGAGAGCTTAACCCTCGTGATCCCTCGGCTTTATACTGAGTATGACGTGTATGGGATGGAATACTCTGTTGGTCACTTTTGGGTCACCTATTGGGTTCACTTCTCCCTGCAGGTGCAAACATTTTACTTACCCCTTTTA